TCTGATCCTCCAGCTGTTGTGGAACTACAGGTCCCATGAGGCATTGCAAGACTGACAGTCACAGGAATGACTCCCAAAGGCAAAGGCATGTTGGGATTTGTAGTTAAAGCCAGAGTTGCCCACCTCTGCACTAGATGCATCATTGTGTATTTTAACAAGCAGTAGATATATGTAAAAACGAAAAAAATAAAAAATAAAACCTTTGAAACGCGTCTTTGCCGCACGCTCCCGTCCGAACATCTGAAGAGTCTCGGGCGGGCGCATGCGCACTTCAGATGTCCGGCCAGGAGAGACACAAGGTAAGTCTGTGGAGCAGCGTGCACCCGCACAAACTCTGTGGGACGTCAGGCGAGAGGAGGACAGCGGAGTCAGCGCTGGATCGGATCGTGTATGTATGGGTGGGGACTTTCAGTTTTTTGTATTATTCTTTTTTATGTGTAACTTAAAAGTTTTTTTTGGGGGGGGGACTTTCATTTTTTTTCCTATTTTTTTTTTCACTAAACTTTTATTGCTATCACATACGGGGGCTAATAAAACCCCCCTATGTGATAGCAAAATATGTGACAGGTCCCCTTTAATGGAGACATCAGGGGTTTTCAAGACCCCTAATGTCACCTAGGACCCCCCAAAAGAAGCTGATGAAGCACAGATCTGCTCCATCAGCTTCTTTCCAGCTTCTGAAGCTGGAGAGTGACTCAAGAATGCGGAAGTGATGTAATATACAACACTCCTGCATTCTTGCAGAGGAGAGGGGACCGGAGACACAGGCACCATGCTGATCCTGGGCTCGCACCGCGCACAGCGGAGCCCGGGATCAGTGGGACAATGGCGGGGGATCGCGGAGGGGGGGGGCACCGATCGTTACCCCATACAAGCGGTCCGCCAGCTCTACAGCCAGCGGATCGCTTGTATGTTAACAGGCATCTCTGCCTGTTTTTAAATATCGGCCATTTCCCGCTCGCCGCTGGGGGCGTGTCTGAGCGGACGTCTAAAGACGCCCTCTCAGATCTAGAGAGCTCCCGGCCGGCCGTTTTTTGACTACGGCCGGCCCGGAGGTAGTTAATATGTCAGTTAGAAGATTAGTGACACGCAAGGACACAGAGGGGGTGAGTTGTGGAGTAGAAAGATATATTTGAGTGTCATCAGCATAGATATAGAACAGATTCACATTAAGGTGTATATTCACTAGCTTGGCTTCAGTCCTAACGTTTCATCTAGCTTGTTTTTCATGATATAACTTTCATATCAGGAAGGCAAGCTTGTGAAATGTTGGAGCTTAGGAACAGTGGCATGACTAGCACCACACTCAATCTTTATTTGATCCTTGAAGCCACGTTTAAGACTGCCAGCAGAATAGAGAAAGAATTCCCTTTATTTCTACTCCACGCCGGAGACGAACGTGGTCTGTGATGAGACTGATCCCCGTGTTTATTTGTTTCAGGAATGTCCATTTGTAAACACAAGGGGATCAGTGTGTGGATATACATATAATGCTGTGTGTACACACATAGATACACTTACACAACTAGGCATTCCCCGGAGGCTTCAATCAGCGGTGTTGTATACACTGTGGGGGCTTGAGGTGTCATTGGATCCTTGTATCTAAGTATACACTGACATAAACACTCACTGTTGTATATACACGCACATTCACAAATAATTATATCTTCAAGGACTCGGCCCCTCCTTTGCTGTTCTCTCGCTAATTTCCCTCTCTGTTCCGCTTCCCCGACCGCACTACCTAGAACACATCACCCTTTCGCCTGGGGCACCACTAGCAACTCTTGAGTAGTGTATACAATGCCAGGTTCTTATATAACATGCAAATAAACAAGCTGTCAGCATCGCGTTACATAATCAGTCTGAACAAGACAGGTACCCAGCCCTGGTCTGACAGGCAGGTGCAGAGAATAAATTGGCACATGCAAGAGACTTAAAGCTGAACTCCAGCCTTACCTCCCCCACAGTCCTCTATTCTGTTGAAATAGAATACTCAATTTCATGTACATTTGCATTTCTGTAGTATAACCCTTTGAAGCCACAGCAGCTATTTTGAGCTCGCCTTAATTTCCTGTGTAAATGACTTACATCATTCAGCAATCACTCCTTCGTTGCCGACAGCACCCCAGCGATAGGCTTCCCCTGCCATCAATCATCTTGTTCCCAAGCATTATGTGAAAGCATGCAACCAGCCAACCAATCAGCACAAAGTCTGCTGCACTCAGTGGCCAGCAGGTGAAGCTAGCCCATCTAAAGGGATCCCGGGAATATGTTCTTTTATATTGTAGCACCCATCACCTTCTGTGATGTGACTACTAGACATTTAGTGATAGCCAGGGCTGTAGACAGCCTGGTTGAATTAGTAGTGGCGATTTACATGGTTAATCCCAGGTGTCTAGCCTTGTCTGTACCCCCCCATGGGCGGAGTGTGACTTTGTCATATTGTGGGACAGCCAATGGTGGATACTGTAGTAGTGTATGTACTGTACAGCAGCCAATCACTGGGCTTTTCTCAGCCAGTGGTGCATGCTGGGACAGAGTACATATATTGGTGGGAGCTGCCATGTGCTCTCTCTCTCTCTCTCTCTCGCCGGGACCAGCCATGGATTAGGGCTGGGTCCTGTTCAGCCTGCCCCCCAGGCTAGGCCGAGGCCTGGGGATGGGCATGGGCTGGAAGTGAGGGAAAAGGTTTCCCTGAGGCCTCCAACATGAATGAGGCCTGAGGGATGGAAAGAGGAAGAGAACCAGGACCAGTGCAGGCTGTTGAAGTACCCTGGAACTATGTGGACTTCAGAGCATGGTGGGTGTCTTTCCTGTGATTGAGAATCCGCATACATGTGCATATAAGGGACGATATCACGTCAAATAATGGGGAAGACGTGGAAACATATGGGGGTGTATGGAATGAAGTCCCTGTCAGTTTTGCCATCTGTGTCCCATCAAGGAGATTTCCATTCACTTCCAGGGCTATTCACTACAGGGTGAAGAGTTTGGAGAAGGCAGGAGAAGTGAACAAACTAGGACAAAATAGCTGATTAGGAAAAATTCTCCAATTCAGCTCACTTTCCAGTTCAGCGATGTTGTCCTAAATTGTGCACTTCTCCTGCCTCCTCCAAACTCTTCACCCTGTAGTGAATAACCCTGTTTGTGTTCTGTAGACACAACAGGAAGTGGAAGTAAATCTCTTCAAAAAGAGGAAAATCCTATAGGCAGTAGTCACCAGAACAGATGTTCCCATTGGAAGATTTCCAATGTTTTGGTGACAATTTAAAATGTTGCTTTTTACTTTACTTTCAGCACCAGTGACAATGCCCATTAAGACAAAAAAAGAGTGTAAATCTATCTAACGAGGGAACAAACAGCAACGGAGAAAAACATGATTTTCCTTAGACGGACTGCGCTAGCATTTACCTATATTAATAGGTGGAAATATTTGTGTTGGACTTATTAGGCACCTTAGAACTGACTCATCCAAAATATACTAAAAGATTAAAACATCTTTAACATCATAAAATGACAGCTTTACATAACTCAGCTGAAGTAATGCTGAAAGTTTTCATGTTTATAATAAAAGGCCTACTTATTTACCTCTGATTAACCGTCTGCTATCATAAACTTACTTTTAACCTCTCTCTCTCTCTCTCTCTCTGCTCTCCTGAACTAGCTTTTTCTTAGGTGAGTTGCTAAAACTCTTTTATACAGTTTGTATGAAAAATGTATTTATGTTTTAGTTGTGTTTGTTTTTGTAGCATTAAGACTGTGAAAACACACATTAAGGGCTTGTTCACATCAAATGCGGTGTGTTCCAGAGGGGTGGGAGGGGGCGTAGCGGTGCATTGAATTCAATGGCACCGCTTACACGCCCCCGCCCCTCAGTGCGATTGGACGCATGGAAAAACTTTGCCTGTGTTCCGTCCCACTGCAAATGCAAAAAAATAGAGCAAGCAGCATTTTTTTGCATTTGCAGTGGAATGCCCAGGGCCGGTGCTAGACTATTTTGCGCCCTAGGCAAGACCAGCTACTTGCACCCAGGCCCCCTTCCTGCGGTGCGGCTCCATTCTCCTGCCGGCTAGCTTCCACAGGCGATAGATGTAAGCAGCCGGGACAATAGCCAGAGTGCTATTAGTTATTTTAATTTGATATAGCCAATAGCAGACTGGCTATTGAAACACCAGCAACTGAGCAGAGGAGCGGACCTGATGGACAATCACAATACAAATCAAGACAAGGCGGTGAGGAAAGCCCTGCTCGTGAGGACTTGATATACATCACTTCGTGCATTCGGGGACCAGAGAGGAGATCAGAGGGAGATCGTATACCGAGCTCCCTTTGATCTCCTGTCACGGAGCAGCCGTGCCGGTCCCGGCCGCACCGGGCATGGCAAATCTAGGAAACGGCAACGCCAGTGACAGCGGCTATTACAAGCGATCGGGCGTCTCTAGATGCCCGATCGCTTGAATGTAAAGCGTAATTAAATGTAAAGCGTAATTAAATGTAAAGCGAATTTCTGTTATAAAACATACAGTATCTTATATAAAATGCCAGGACAGTACAAATTATCCCAAAATGATCCCTTTGTGGAAAGTAGACACCCAAAAGGTGATCTAATTTTTGGCATGATGAGATTGAGGTGGTTAAGAACCTGACAGGGTCACTTTAAAATGGGCTTTAAAGGAGAACTATGGGGTTAAGGCTTTTCCCCATAGTTCTCCTTAGGGTAATGCGAGGACACAAACTAGCGTCCTCCCGTCACGCTAGTGGTCCGGAAAATGGTGTGAACCTGGATTTTTGTGCACACGCTGTTAAAAGAAGAATGTTTTTAAACATCCAGTTAAAATTCACAACACAAACAAATATGTCCCATCACTATTTGCGCCCATTTTCTGTCTTAACCCAAAAAAAAGAATAGACATTTTGGTTGCAGTTTTGTTCTAATATGACCTGGGTAATTTCTGTATTGATCAACGTTTCAAAATATGTTTTCTTTTCCTCACCATCAGCTAAACTATCTTGGTCCTCCTTTCAACGACCCAGACTTCAACCCTCCTCGTGCTGGTGGTCCGGACGCCATCCCCAGTGCCTCAGTGGACTCCCAGATGTGGCGCAACCTGAATGACAGCCTGCGTTTAGCAGAGAACCACCGGGCCTACAGTCTTCTGCTCTGTTACCTGCGTTCTATTGACAGTGAAGTGGCCAGAACTGAACTACGAAGAAGCCTGGGACGCTTCTGCACCAGCTTGCAGGGTCTAGTTGTCAGCATTGCTGGTGTCATGTCTTCCTTGGGCTACCAGCCACCACCTGAATTCTCTTCTTTTTCTCCTCAGCTTGGGTTGGGGTTTGGGAGGGGCAATGACTTTCTGCGCAAGATGGAGGACTTCTGGCTGCTGAAAGAGCTGCAGATCTGGCTCTGGAGGTCAGCAAAGGACTTCAACAGGCTAAAAAGGAAGGTACCGGCTGTGGTATCCTTCCGAGTGGAATTTCGGGGCTACTGATGTGGTGGAGATGGAGGAGAGCGAATAATGTAGGAACTTCTTATTGAAACACTTCTAAAAAGAGCAAGTACACTCCGAAAAGTAATGTAAGAAAGTATTCTGGTGAACCTTGCTCCTTGGCTTCCTTGACAAAGGAAGATTAACAGTGATAGAAAGTTTACCAGCTATCTTTATTCCAGAGTCTTTTTTGTAGTGTTACATACAAGAAGAACAAAACATGGTTACCAAATTGGACGCAATTCCTAAGATTTACCAAGCAAACATTTCTCATTGCAGGTTGGATAAACATTTCTGTGGCTTGCACAATTTTTTTTTAGATTATTTATGCGTAAAAAAGAGCTTTATAAAGAGGTGAACAACCACTTTGTTCCATACAACATGTTTATCGACGAGATAATGTTTATTTTTTCACCTTTTGGAGGTCAAACCGGAGCCAGTCCCATTAGCACCAATCCAAAAGAAACAATTAAAAGATGCTTTTAATGAGAAAATATTAGATATGTATCAGTGATATGCATATTAATCTAGATATACGTGTTCTACCATGCACTGTTATGTTCAAACAAATGTAGTGGTCCATTGAAACCACTTTTATGGACATTTAAACAATGATACACATCTATGACCAAATATTTGCACCCAGTAATCTGATTTAAAAGAAGGTGCTGCGTGCCACTTATATAACAAGGAAAAATAGCCTTATATATGAAGCTGTTGACATATCCGTTGCAAATGATATTTTTGTAGCTGTCTTTAAGTGCTTTTATCTATGTACATATATGTGTGTATAGTACTTGTCTTATTGTACATACTTTAGTAATGTATTTTTAGTGCTCCTTTTGCTGCAAAACTCAGAAAACAGCCAGATGCAAATGACCAAACCCCCCCCCCCCCATGTGACAATTAAACTGTCACAGGTCGGCTCAGTATATCGGGAAGTGAGCGAACACATACTGGTGCTCGCTCGCTTCTCGATCTATCCGTGCAGAGAGACGTGACAGGGGAGGGACTGGATGCCCCCCTCACTTGTCCGATCCTCCAGCGCTGACTGGCGGAACGGACGGGGGAGGGGATGGGTCACAGCGGGCTCTGCCTCTAGATAGGCAGAGCCAGCTGTCACTTACGCAGCTGGGTGGATCCAGGCATAATTGTTGGGATCCGTCCCGGCTGCAGCGTCTCAGTATATAGTGAGCTGTAGCTCGCGGTATACTGAGCTTTGGGTGACGGGAGGATGCTAGTTACCCTTAGGAGAACTATGGGGAAAAGCCTTGACCACATAGTTCTCCTTTAAAGGGGATTATTGGGAATAAAGAATATCCCTCCCCCGCTCCTAGGATTTACCTATCTGGGGGCTCACTTTAAGATTTCGGTCTGGTAAATCTTGTATCATTGTGCGAAGATTTAATGGCAGGATTGTACTTCAACCCGCAAAGGACCAGAAACAACCACAAGAAGAGGTCATCTTTTAATATTTTGTGTAGCAGAAGTTCTGCACAGATTACAAAACATTATTCTGAAATCCAAGGAATTCCATAGCCCCTCTATTGCTGACTTGCCTCTCTGAGGGGCTGGAAGCATCTAGTGATGCTAACTGACTTTCACGTCAGTGTAGAAAAGCGTCTAGCTCTAGTAGTAGCCATGGGACAAATATGACAGTACCGAACAAGTGCTTGTAGAGGCAGACTCAAAGATCACTAGAGAACACATATAGCCACCCACATGTAATGATCCAGCCAATTATCTGACATATCTGTTACTACCTTGTTTGGCACAAGAACACCAATGCTTGGCATCAGTAAACACCTTGCAGTTGATTTTGATTGTACATGGTGGTCTTTGTTGTACCGTGCATGTTGCTATATCTCTAGGGAGAAAATAACTCGAATTGATGATAACATGATCAAATCAGTTGTGTTTTAGGCTGGAATTCCGGCACTGCTTTGTTTCTGGTGAAGATCCAAGCACTAGGTGACCAATTATTTTTCAGAAAAGACAATAGATTAGAAGGGGATGGGGGAAGGGGATGACTAAGGTAGAGTGGGTTATAGTACATCTGTCATGAGAGAAAGATGTGGGCTGCCATTGTTGCCCTCTTCCAGAAAATACTAGATGCATGGCTGTGTCAGGCTTCATACATCAGAGACCCAGCACAAGCATGCAGGAAATGAGGATCGGAGAAATGTCAAAATTCTGCCTTGTTCTGTGTCAGTCGTTTAAAATATTATGATGCCAAAGAAAGAGCTAAGAAGCTAGCTTTTTTTAGAACAACCTTTCAGCAATGGCAGCTCACATATTCAGCTAATGACAGGTACACTTTAAGTGATAGGCTACTTTTAAGTGTTAAGCAGGATTGCCACATTTCGTTCTGTGGAAAACTGAATGGGGGGATGTAGGGGTTGGGAGGGTTGTTGTCATCTTTAGCCTGAATTGTTTTCTGGTAGTGTGACACAAATATCTGTTGATGGCACCAGCTTATTTTTAGGTTGAGAAGGTAGGGATGTCCCGATGGCAAGTACAAGTACAAGTTCTTGTCAAAATGCCCTGTATCGGGCCCGATTCCGATGCTAGAATCGGTATCCGGACATCCCTACTGTCAGGTCTCTTCAACTTTTACTCCCCTTTAGGAGAAGACAGCATATCATTATCTCTCCAATCTCTGCTTTGTTCCAGTGCTGCACTCTTGGAAAGTCTCTTTGGCATCCGACACTCCGAAAACGGTTGAATGACAGTGTCCCCTGCTGATCTGGTGCCTTCCTCGATACTCTGAGTCATATAGTGGCCTAAGAGATCGAAGGCAGGAACCAGTGCATGGCAACGGACACAGGCATCCAACACTCATGGAACTGTTGAACGCCAAAGAAGCTTTCTGAGGTCACTGTGCTGGAACAGTGAAGAGGTAGGAGAAACAGGCCACCAAAGAACGGTGTATACATTGTCCTCTGTGGAGACCTGGCAGGATCTCTTTAAAGGAGAACTATGAGGTGACTGATTTTCACTCACCTCATAGTTCTTGCCGACGTGTGACAATGAAACTGTCACAGGTCGGCTCAATAGATTGGGAAGTGAGCGAACGCATATCATCGCTCACTCACTTATTGACCCTTAGGAGAACTATGGGGAAAACCAGTTACCCCATAGTTCTCCTTTAACAAGGGAACAAGGGGCTAAGTGTAATAAAATGTGAATTGCATCCTAAAGGAAAAAAAAGGGAATTGTGGTTTGAACAGTCTATGTAAATCCCAGGTAAATTAGCCACTCTTGGGTTTCGTTGTTTTGGGGGTTCTCAGGATCTCTTTAACAAGATCTCTTTGACAGGATCTCTTTAACAATGGAACAAGGGGCTAAGTGTAATACAATGTGAATTCCATCTTAAAGTAAAAAATGGAGTTTCAGTTTGAACAGTCTATGTAAATCCCAAGCAAATTAGCCATTCTTGGGTATTATTGTTTTGGGGACCCCAAGAGAGGACCTGACAGGATCTCTTTAACAAGGGAACAAGGGGCTAAGTGTAATAAAATGTGAATTCCATCGTAAAGTAAAAAATGGAGTTTCAGTTTAAACAGTCTATGTAAATCCCAGGCAAATTAGCCATTCTTGGGTTTCATTGTTTTGGGGACCCCAAGAGAGATTCTGTAGTTTCCTATTCCTTTTTGGGGCATTCTGGTGTCAGCATATTTTCATAATTTACTACGATTCACTGTCTTCACTAGAGAGAAGAGGGTGCAGTTTTGATACAACTCTCCTCTACCCAAGTTGACAGCTTTTTAGAACATCAGCGCTGGATTGGCCAATACCATCAGGCCATGGGATATAGCAAAATGCAAGAAGCCTCTGGAGAATGTTGGACAGCAATTATAGAGCACAGGACAGGTTGTTGCATTCAAATATTCTTTGCAATGACCCATCTAATTTTTTCTTTTTAACTTGCAATTAAATTCTAGTTACTTGTCCTCTAGTATAATGAATAGATCACCGATTTTTATTTTGAAAATGAATAAGCTAATATCTGGCTGTTGTGAGTTAACTGCTCTTGCTGCGTTATTAAATAAAGGCCAATAGCAAAGTGCAGAGGTTTGCTGATACCAAGAGCAACCCATCAGAATGTAGCAATTTCCTGCCGTTCACACCTAAAAATGTATTCTGATTGTTTTGCTGTTGATTAGTGCTTCCACTTTGCTCCTGACCTATTAATTTAAGGCCACTTATCTTAAACAAGCTTTAAGGGATGGACCATCCTAAGTTGTTTTTTTTTTTTACCTTTTGTCCACATGAGGTGGGTTTTGTGTCATGCCAAGGTAATACATCATTTAAATGGATGTTGCCAGCAAAACATCTTCCTTTTTCTCAAGCTCACCTCCAATCATGTCCAATAGCATTAACATTGAGCACCTGTTTTATTCGCCTCTTGGCAATGTAGCTACTGGCTGGATAATGGTCCACCCCCTTTAAAGCATAACTTGACCTTATTTGCACATTTAATACAGTAAGGATGAGCAAACAAATATCAACTTTGTAAGTAGTATTTATTACCTATCCCATTCTGTTTTACACATAGAGGTCCTTAAAGTGACACTAATATCAGGAGTTAAATCTTAAGAATACATTCAAGTACTTTAACTATTAACAAAAATGTTTCTTTTTTGTGTATTGCTCGGCTGTAGATCCTCAAATCATCTCTGAATTGGTGCTGACACTGTCCTTCCTTCTGGAGGGTGGCTACTTTTGTTACCTACGGTCCGTGTGTGTGTTGTAAAGCAGTCACCGCTCCAAGCTTACTCCTGTGATGGACTGCAATCTCACGTTTAGTTTGTAGTCCATCACAGGAGGGAGCTTGGAGCGCTGACTACTTTACAACACAATGTCCATATATCGTGCCGCACTCCTTACCGGATATCCCAAAAGATAATAATAACAACGGGTGCTTGAAATGACCGCGGATGGCACCGCTCACAGTACAACTTGAATAAAGATGTCACCAGAACACCAGCACTAAGGTTTCCAAATCAGTGCAAATCCATTTTA